ATATATATATATATACATATACATATATATATTATTGTGTTTCATATCATTTAATATTATACTGTTTGTCTTTCACTTTTCAGGAAAACATTCCTAATCGTAGCAGTGCATTTGCACCAAGACATTTTAATCGTGCAACAAGATCCACTATGTCTCACGCGAAACTCTAGTTTATAGCACATATTTATCACTCGATATTGTGCTTTCACTACTCAAAATCAAAAGCGAATGGGATCTAAGTAAAATCACATTATTGTGTGATACGGAAACGGATCGTAATTATTTAATCAGGAAAAATAGATATGCATCTGTGCGTCTGGAAACTGAACGTTCACAAACTTAATTATTATCCATCAAATTCTCTTGGCAACTTACATTTAAATAACACGAAAAATCTCATAAAAGCTCATAAAATCATTAGAAATTATTACCGCAAATATTAGTGCAAGTTAATTAAGATTAAAATGTAATTATCTCTTACTTAAGTTTTCATTTGCAGAAAAAAAGCAAATAATGAATTAAACCACGATTATGGTTAACCGACTTTAGTTGGAAATCACAGTATCTGGTATGGGTGTGATATTATCCTGGCAGCCTGTCTGGCTGGTCAAAGCTCATCTCGTAACACAGCGGCTCATCTTGAGGAAACGGCTTTTAATTCGCATGTTTCTCGCCGCTCGGGCGGCGGCTTATAACCGTGTAGCGGAGGGTGTAAGCTGAGAACAATGGTGCCAGTCATATCATTCGCTTGGTATTCGTGGCACCTTCCACTCCCGAAGTACAAGGATAAGAGAAGAAGAGATTTAACACGGAAATAAGACGATTATGGCTTAGCTTAACGCTGCTGCCGCCGCTAAAATCTTACGCCTATTCCCACCTTACTTTGACTTTAAAGCGATATCGTAAATGAGGAACGCGTTTTACTTTAACTCTCTGATTCGTTAGAATAGAATGTCTATATTCATCAGATGGAATTTAAACTGTTAAACTATTAAACTTCTCGATATTTCAATCATATCTCATTATCGTGAATAGAATATAACGGAAAGGCCTATCTATACGTATGGAAATTGTGTAGTTACGTTTTTTAACGTCAAATATCAAGAATACTTGAAATCAATAGTAGATTCTTTTTTAGAATACAATAACTTTGTGACAATATGCATCGATAAGCGAATTACGGATATATCTACTACCGCGAAACAATGTAATTATATAAGTTCGGAATTATGTTAAATATCTTTAACTTTTGATATTTAATCTTTCATACACATGCACCGTAGTTATATTTCTGTAGAATTCGCTGGATATAATTATAGAGTTTCATCTACAGAGAATCAAGCACTTTGTATTAGCGAAAACTTCACGTTCTCACTTTTTTATCGATCGTCTTCCCTCAACCAGCGTTTCCCACGGATCGTTGCATCCCCGAGGCGGTCCTATGGTCACTACGTTCCGCGAGATATTATTGGTCTGTGTGGAGAAGAGTGAGTGAGTAAGAAAGAGAGAGAGAGAGAGAGAGAGAGAGAGAGAGAGAGCCCACAAGGCTGGACCGATGTCCGATCGGATAAGTTTAGCAGGACCAATTGGAAAAGTCGGTCAAGTGCTCTCGTGCTGTCCGTATTTGCGGTCGCAAGGGAGGATCGTCATCGGGTGTCCAATAGGGTGATTCCCACGAGGAACCGCCGGTCAGCTGTGAGCTTATTATTTCTGATAATAACAGGTCAACCGATATATCGAGGCGAATAGTTCGCGCGAGGGATTCCCGATGTGAATTCTCTCGTAGACATATAATCCGTTGGTCCGCGGCTTGATTGAACCAGCATCGGTAGGTCGCTCGATATATTTCTATTTGAATCCGCGTGATCGTTCTCGTTGGTTGAATAACGACGAAAGAAATTCTCTCATAAAGTATGCTATCCGTGGAATCAATTTTAATCACAGTTCTGTCGCCCGAATCTATTTACTTGGAGATTGATTGCAATTTATAAAAAGAGAAAAGAATATGCACGTCGCAGTAACGTGTATGCAAAATATTATATATAATTATAATTATATACGTAGAGAATTATATACGTAGTAGAAGTCAATACTTTTGCAAAGGATGTAAAAAAAAACTGTAAAAAGATTAGAGATTTTTTTCCAGTCGTAACATTAAAAATTTCATGCTTACGTGAGATTACCTTTCGTCGTTAATATTTGATTTATTTAAAAAATTTAAAAATAAATATAATATAATATTCATATTCTTATTATTATATTTTTCAAGAATGGATGTATTGTATATCCCTGATCTTCATTTTGGGAGAGTTTAGCATTTCTCCATTTGTGTAATAAGGCTGATATAATTTATTGAAGAGACGCGCAGGGCGTCCAAATAAGTTTCTATTCATGATATCGCGATAAATTAATGCGTTTCCATTAGTCCTAGAAACCGTGTTTTAGCTCGGCAATGTCCACCGAGCATCCGCGAAACGGGAAAACGCTGAAAGGATTTCTCTCCGGTTCCGTCACTCTGGTCGACTCTTTTCGCTCCAGCAAAGAACTTCCGTAATTCGCTTACGCATTCGCAATGGACTTATCCTTGCCTCCGTTTTGCACACTTTTCTGGGTTGGTTTATCCGACCAGAAATCTCAGAAAGAACTTATTACGTAAAGGGTGAACGAAAGGAAAGGAAAGTACGAATAGCATAGAGAAGATGAGAAAGAGATCATTAATTGGCTTCTCCGATTTCCTCTTATATGATATAAGTACCGTTATTTCAGTTTCCCACCTTTGTCTTTGCTCCATATTCTGATTTACTACTTTCTTACTACGACCGTTTATTCTTATCTTTTATTTGAATCGCGTCGTTAAGTCACGTTCTACCTATAAAACTGCACCTTCATATTGAAACAAGAGCAAGATTCTACCTGTTCCCATTTATAGAGTGTTAGAGTTTACATACTTATATAAGAATGGATATAAATAAGACAATGTTCAAATGATAATTTATTCGGGCCGAGTAGAGAAGATTGAGCATTGTATTTTTTACTTCCGGTAGAGTTATTCTAAAAATCGCATAATCGAAGCCACATGATATATCTTATTTCTTGTTGCGTACAAAGTATTTGAAATCGAGAGGTAAATAATGAGGACGATTTATCTGCGTTGCATTTGTCATGTCACAAAATCCAGTCACGGATATTGGAAAAACATTCGGAACCGGCGGGATGCTGCCAATAAGATCGATAAAACTTGAGATGCGGTAACGACGTGAGAAATCTAAGTAAAAAAGCGTAGCGCGGGAACGACGAATTTGCGTTTCTCGTAAAGTTGGCGATGGTAGCCGTGGTGGTGGTGGTGGTGGTGGTAGTGAAGTTTGAGGGATTTTTAGTATTTCCTCATTTTCTGAAAGGCACTTTTATCCTCTTGGAAAATGCGAGACTTACCCGGACTAATGCACGGTAATCGCACGGCAGCTGACGAAGGCTCCACAAGCCTGACCCCACATCGTCATGAATGATTCAGTGAGCGGACGTAGTACGGAGGGTCATTATCGTTATAAAGGGGAATGAATTTTACACGAAACACCGTAGACGTTGCGCAATAACGCGTGACATTCATCGCCAGGGAATAAACCTCATCACATGCCAATGAAAAAAGCTTGGTTAATAAATAATGAAAGTAAATCATTGATATTATCGAACTATGCATAATACTCGTATGTGACACAAGCTGGATACTCTCTAAAAGTGTGAATCAGTATGTATTATTACTCTGAGAAATAATAAATATTTTTACTGATGATTATATCAGTTATAAGTGAACTGAAATCACTGATTCACTTATTTTAAAGAATGAAGAATCCGATATAAAGAATTTATATCGGATTGCTAAAATAGGTGATATTAGTAAGATTATGGGAAATTAAGTAATGTAATTAGGATACAATATCCAACAAAATCACACATTTGTCAAAAACTAATTAGAAAATTAAGTCTGCGATTATACTTACAAAAGCTATCTAGTGTACTGTATTTTTAATCAATTGCATTAGCAATTCAATCTCTTTTCGCTGCGAAGAAGAATATGCAATTTTTCATATAATTAATAGTTTATATTTTAAGAGTAACTGTCATTCCCTTTAATACAAAATCGCCGAAAATGAGACGCGCGGATATTGAAAATAGCGTGATCCTTTGAACTTCCATCTCTCTTATTTCCGCATGCTTAAAAGGTACCTTCCGTTCTCGCTTTATGAAATTCATGTCATAAGTCTTTCAAGTGAGTTGATTGGATTGGCTCGTGCAACCGCATGGCGTAACCCCATTTTTGTGAAAACGCGAAAGAGATTCATAGTACTACGAGCTGTGGTATACGAACGCCATATCTTAGATTTCGATTTTGACGAAGCTTTACGCGAGCGTCGAATGGCACCAATTTTCGCGGGCCTCGTGAAACTCCCGATGTACAGGACGGATGAAACTTTATGAAATTCATGAGGAGGTCGGTGCACTTACCGACCTGAAGTAGCTCAGCACGAATATCTCTTGAAAATCGTCGCCGCAGGGAGTAAGAAACTTTTCATGGATTTATATATATATATATATATAAACATTCGATCTTTGATTCAGTCCATAAAATTTTCAACTGCGAATGAGCGACTGTATCGAGTACTCAACATCTTTAAAACGTTCTAAATTTGTACACAGTTTATGCGCTTTAAGAATCAATAAAGCAACTCGTGTATTTAAACCTACTTTCCATTATGTTGTCATATTATGAAAATTATTATGTGATAAATTTAAAATTACATAAATAACTCACCGAATGTGATAGATGTCATAAGAGCTGAGCCTTTTACTGCATCTTCGATGTGCGTAATTAATCCTGCAAGCACATAATTACATACATTACATATAATAATGTAACACAATAAATTAGATACCTATAATCTATATTAAAATACGTATTAAAAATACGAGCTCATTCCAAATGATTGGAAATTTTCAGTAAGTTTCAGTAAATAAACTTTTTTCATTTTTCATTAACACGATTGCTCCTTGTATCTGAACGATCAATGATTCGAAGAAAAGACTAAGGTTCCGGACAGTCACAGCTTTAGAAACTTTAGTGTGACGAAGTACTTGAGAACTAAGAATGACCAGCGGTAAGAAGTTTTATCCGCAGGACACACTTGAAACGAAGAGGAAGTGAGTTTGCGGTATGAGTGCGAGCACGGCAGGATCTTCGAAAGCGATCGCGACTACCGTGGGAAAAAAGTAACGGGGGTGCGCATTGATTTCAAGCAAAAGACGTCGGTGATGGTGCGTTTCCATATGTATTTCAGCATTTTCAAGGTGGTTGGGCAGTCGATACCCTTCTTTATCATTTTTATGGTCGAGTAGGAGACCATGGCGGAAACGTCCGCATATTTATTCGCCGGTGGCGGCAATAAAACACAGGCCTGCGCGAATATCCGCATGTCGTGTCGGTGTTTTCCCGCAGCGTATAATATCTCGCTCAGAAATTTCACGGCGGCAAAAAGTTTAGGTATATGAGCGTGTGTGTAAAAGCACATCTGATTCGAGTAAAAAATGAGGATGAACGGTTCGGATCGCGCGGCGCGCCTAGCAAACTTGATGAAACGTTGGTAGACTATTCCCGGCAGATTCATCGGCTAACTTTAGCCGCCTTCTTCGTCCGCTTCTTCAGTTCCCATCGAAGTTGTCTAACTTCGTAGTGGATGTGTCTGATAATGGCATACCTTGGAGTACTGAAGTTGGTCCACGTACTGCCGAGAAGCGACTCGACGCGTCTATACTTTCACGTATACAAATACTTTGATAAGTGAAGAAAAATGGCGAACGCGTTTCCGATACATTGACTTGTACGCATTGTAGCGATGTGCAAGCGTACATAGAAGAAGAAGCGTACGTAAATCCATAGAGAGATATTGGCATTTAAATACATGGAAGAAACTATTGGACACGCGGTATTACGGCTTACGACGTATTGAAAACTTTAAAGTTCGGATCTATCTGAACATCTTTCTCTATTTTTACTTGTGATGACTACATCGAAGATTTAGCCAGATAAAGATAATCTCGATGTAATGCTTCCGAGAATTGACATTCGAACATGACACTTTGACAGCGAGAACGATTACCTTATGATATGTTCTCTACTTTTGCCGGACCGTCAGATCGTTACTTGAATTATACGTAATCAATTAAATTGATAAAGGTTTTTATTTAATAAAATAGTAGACGTTTCACGATATTTATATTAACACCCAGAGAAAGATTTCTTCGATTTAAAGAAATGTGTTTCTTTGCTATATGATTAAAGAAAAAATTTCTTTGATTTGAACACGCCATTACTTTGATTTAAACATTATTTTTTAAAATCAAATAAAAAAATTTATTTGATTTTAAAGAAATTATATACAAATCAAAGAAATGACGTTGAAATCGAAGAAATTTTGTCTTTAACCGTATAGCAAAAAAACGATTTTTTAATCGAAAAAATCTTTCTCTGAGTGAATGGCACTTCATGATTTATTCAAGTAGCAAGACAATAAATGTAACAATGGAAGATAACGAGTCATGGATACATTTATCGCTATAATTATCTCCAAGATAGTATGCATTCTGGGACATTCTTTACGGTAATGTTTTAATGTAAAAAACGATTGGTAACAAATTTATTTTCGTAAAAAACTCATAAAACGTTAAAAGATTAAAAAATTTTCTTTGATTAAAATTTAATGCTAGCTTTTTCAAGCTTTTAAGCTGAAACAAAAAGGAAAGAGTTATTCATATATCAGTTTTACCATCTTGTGAGAATTTCATCACAGTAGAATATCTAAGTACATGTCCTGCATGTTATAATATCCATATATTACATATTATATAAGTTTTCATATTATGTGATTTATAACATATTTTGTCTCAAGTATTCTGCCTTAACTTAAATATCGCGAATGTCACTGTACAGTTACCTATTCTTCCCTCTACACCCTCTGGGACTTCCAAGTAATCGCAAGTAGGCGGAAGTACGGATCTGGAGACTAGAGACAGACAGACGAGTAGAAGGCAAGCTATCGCAGTACAGTAATCCCAGCCGTGTTTTCTGGGTCGGTTGTATCCGGGATTGCGGTACCCAGGGCGCATTGTCTTCACGAAATACGGTCGCGGAAGGAACGAAAATTATGCCCCCCTACCGCCCGAAATGCTTTATTTCCGCCGTCGACTGGTGCATTCGCACATTTCTATCCTCCCTCTCTCTCTCTCTCTCTCTCTCTCTCTCTCTCTCTCTTCGCTTCGCGCGGTCGAACGCGCGAGAAAATAACAGAAAACGTTTGCCTTTGCGATGTCGTAAAGACTGGAGACTTAACGTCAGAAAAAGATCGTAAAAAAGCAGCGCAATATAAAAACAGTAGAAGAAAACGAGCGAAATTGAAACGCGAGCGACATCAAAAATAAGTGATCAAAGAAAGACGGAAGACCTGAAATAACATATATCGGTGTTGACTCTTCGTTGCGTAGAAGGCAAGCATTACGAATTAAAGGCAACGTGCAACGACATGGCAGCAGCAGCAGAAAGAGTGCAAGTTTAAATAACGTAAATCAGACGAGGCACGATAGGAAGAAATAGAAAGAAATAGAAGAAAGTCGCGTGCCATGACTCTAAGATATCCTTTCCTATCTCATTCCGATCTCAAGGCACGCGTATCCCTCTTGCTCGCTTGCTAAGTGGATAAGGATATCCTTCCTTTCCTTCACATCTACACAGCCGGCTTCCCCTTGCTACACTCGCCCTAACTCTTTTCTTTATGCCGTTGCCTCTCATCACCCACTATTCGACTTATTTTCTCGATCGAAACCTTTGACCAGCATCAAGCAGAAACCAACTTGGCTCATCTGCTACGATCGGATCCGATGAAGTCACGGAAGAAAGTCCCGAATTAATTTCAACTCCCACGAGATATCGACGAAACTTGTCAGGTTGAATTACGTTTGATAATTTTTGAGTCAACGCGAAAGATATTTCGTTTGCAAGTATAATTCTATGCTAAACGCTATAATATTAAGCGCAATAATTAAAACCGTGGTTTCACTTCTGGCTGGAAGCGACCTATGGAAGCTAAAGAGAGACGGTTCGGCAAATGAACGATGCAAATGACGAGGATTACGTATTGTGAATTCTTAACGAGATATTCTTTGTTTTATAAATCATGAAAAACTTGGCGAA